TAAAATCTCTCACTGCCATCAAGTTAATTCTGACTCATAGTCACCCTATAGGGTAAGATAGAACTACCCCTGAAGGTTTGTGAGACTGTAACTGTTTATCATGGCAGAAAGCCTCATTTTTCTCCCATGGAGTAGCTGATAGTTTCAAACTGCTAACCTTATGGATCACAGACCAATGAATAACTACTAACCCACCAGATTATGAAAACTTCTTAGACACAATCAAATACCCTGACGGTCACTGGGTCGGTTGGCATAACAGTACACAGAGATGATGCAATGCTCTATATCCTACTTTTGGAATGTGTCTTAAAAGCTCAAGAGCAGTCATCTGAGGTGCAACTATTGGTCTCTCTCTCTGTCTGTAGGAATGACAAATGGACTATGTGAACCTATCTCCATGTCCAAGATTAGAAGAACTATATTACCACTACAAACTGCTATGAAAGGTATAACATTAGGGGGTCTTGGATAGTGGGGGAGCAAAATGTAGAACAAAACTCAAAATCAAAAGAGACTATGCTTACTGGTCGAATAGAGATTTGTGAAACACTGAGACTATATGGCCCTTAGCCACTACTCCTTTGGGTCTGAAATTGAACTCATCGGAGTGGCTCAATTTTCAACCAAACAATAGACAGATCTAAAAGGAGAATAATAGCGAGGTGTGCACACCCTAGAATAGCCTATGATTTGGAACCGAAAGGGCAGCATTAATTGAGGTTCACCTAAGTTTACGCGAAGAAGCACATCAGCTTGTGTGACCCAAAGATTATAAATAATAAAATCCAAATATAATGGAGGGAATGATATTAGAGCTTAAATTGTGAACACTGGTTTGCAAAAGGCTATGGATGACAGTGGAAGCCCAAAATCCATTTGTAGGGTCTACACATGGATTAAACTGCTTTTGAGTCAGTCCCCTCCAATCATAGCTGAGGGATGTGTTATCCTTGTTATCATGCAGAGTGTACTGGAACGGGGATTATGGGCGTTGCAGTTAGGATAAAATTTCTATCATTTTGATCTCTTCCTATTGACCAATTCCAAATTGGTTCTTGTTTTTTTATTTTTTTTTGCTTTCATTTCAATTGAGGTTTTTCTCTGTTTTCCTTTGTATGGTTGCCGGGGTTTTGTTGTTGTTCTTTTCTGGTATATGCCAGAATAGATAATCCTGCATAGATAACTGTATAGAGACAGTAAGTGGATTAATGGCTTCTTAGGGTGATGGCAGCGGAGGCTGGGGATACATAGGGAACTAATAGAAATCAGTACAAGAAAGGAGACAGTGCTCTAAAATCGACTGTTGTGATAATTGTACAACTCTTCTTGATATGATTGAACTATTAAATTGTAGGACGTGAATCATATGCCGATAAAGTTCTTACAGCTCTTATAATATTCAATACTTCAATTGTAATCATGCACATTTATACATATGTTGCCATCATCATTTCCAAAACATTTTCTACTTGAGCCCTTGGTATAAGTTCTTCTTTTTACCCTCTTCCTCCCCCACCCCCCAACCCTTATGAATCCTTGATCAATTATATATTGTTATAATTATTTCATTTCTTATACTGTCCATTGTCTCCCTTCACCCACATTTCTGTTATTCTTCCCCTTTGTGGGTGAGTGGGGGGACTAAAGCATTCACCCAATGACAAATTTTTTAAAAATTGGGAAAGAAAGAGACACGGAAACGGGAAACACCAGGAGAAAACAGGATAAGGGATGCTACATTGAGGAGGCTGCAAAGGATGAATATGAATTGTCTAATATGCACTGAAGATCTCTTTAAACTTTCACCCAATTCAGAATAAAGAGTCTAAAAAAAGAAAGGCACGGGACGTTTTTCATGAACCCTTTGAAGTCCCTTGAAAGGGACCTGAGCACCAGCAGACTGTGTTATTTGTATTGGGTCCAGGAACCAATCCCAACAGGTACCGAGGGAAAACTGTATGAAGAAGAAACGTATAAAGAAACACAGATCCTTGGTTAAAACGGATAATTTTGCACTGACATTTTTAGCTACATAGTAAGCGTATTGACAATAAAGCCAAGTTAGTTTAATTATAAGTTTCTCCCGAATTTGCTATTTTTAAAATAGATTTGTTTTCTTCACATGCACATACTGTAACATTTAACATGGGGATATTTGAAACAATCTTTATATATAGAAATATTTCCCTACTAATATTTCTAAGATAGAAATAAAATAGCTTCAAGAAAACACCTTAGACAAAATCATATGATTTCGTTTTCTTTTTTTGCATTAGTTCTCTTACCTCCAAAAAGATGAAATGCTTTTCTGCAGCTTGGTAGTGGCCATTTTGCAGAGCTGGATTTCTGAAAACTTTGTTTTATTTTTAAATATTCTTTAGTAAAGAATGTTTTTGTAGCATTGTTCAGTTCTAAAATAAAGCAAAATAAAGTTTTATTTTAAAATATTTACTGGTCAAATGGTTTGCTTTGGTAAGAACAAAAATTCAAATCTTTTTAAGACAGGTAGAACAAAAGTTGATTCAACCTGTTTTTAATACTAAATTCACATTTTATTCAAGTTTGATACATGTCCTTATTAAACATACATCTAGGTTCCTGTTTATCTTAAGTTTTGGCAAAATTAAAATACCTTATTCTCCCACCTCCTCCATATTATTATCTTTTTAAAATTCAGTATCCTTATAAAGCTGGCAATGTTTTGAACAGTAAGTCATAAAAATGAATTTCTGTAAATGAACGTCTGAGAATGATATAATCAAAATATTATGTACTGCAGCATATTACCAATGAAAATATGTAAAAAAAATACCCCTAAAATCCAAATAAGTAAATATGGACATTTGTAGATAGTCAGATTGCTCAGATCTAGAATATATCATATGCCTAAATCTAACTGTAATAGAAATCTTTATACAAGTCTTGGAAAACAAAGCATGATCCAAGTATTGCTATTTTATGGACACACTGTTATGAGAGATGCGTGCAACTTAATTACTAACCTGGGAGGTAGCTAGGCTAAAAACAGAGACTCTCAGAAAGATGATGGACTATTTTATTGACTATACAAAGGCATTTAGCTATATGGATCACAGCAAAATATGTTTATCATTGCTAAGAACTGGTAATCCAAACATTAAATTGTCTTTATGTGGAACCTGTACATAGAGCAACAGACCAAACAATGGGATACTACTGTGTCATTTAAAATAGGGAACGGTGTGCTTCAGTTCGTTATCTTTTCACCATACTCAGCGTGCGATCTGTATGCTGAACAAATAACCTAAGAAACTGGACTATATGCAGAAGAATACCGCATAAAGTTTAAATAATGACTCATTAACAACCAGCAATATGCATATCAAACAACTCTGCTTGCTGAAAGCAAGGAGAACTTGAAGCACTTACTAATGCAGATCAAAGCCTTCAGTGTACATTACAAGTCAATGTGAAGAAAACAAAAATCCTCACACCTGGACCAATAGACAACATCATGATAAATAGGGAAAAATGAAGTTGCCATAGATTTCATTTTGCTTGGATTCATAATCAAAGATCATGGAAGCAACAAGCCAGAAATCACAAGCTGTACTGCACTGGACAAATCTGTAAAGGGTAACTATATAAAATATTAAAAATCAAGGAGATTATCTTGAAGACTATTAGTTTGCTAATAGTTTTGTTCCTTTTTAGTTTTTTATATTTTGCATTCACTAATTTATTTTTTAAATTGTCATTTGGGTAAAAGTTTACAGAGCAAATTAGTTTTCCATTCAGCAATTTATGCACACATTGTTTTATTACATTTGAATTTTTAAAACTGTTATATTGACATAATTCACATATCATACAAATGAATGGTTAAAATACATCCAAAAGAACTAGACAATCATAACCACAAACAATTTTGGAACATTTTCTTTATTCTTGCATACAATATATTCCTTAGTTTTTATCTCCAATTTATATGCATTGATTTTTAATCTCACAGTTTCATCCTCTGTGAGGCTGTTGTAAAATATGCTGTCTCATTGTCACTAACTCGATACTGACTCAAAGAGACCTTATAGGATAGAAGAGAATCGGCCCTGTGGGTTTGAGAGACCGTACTCTTTGCTTTAATTTTACTTTCATCTTTTTGCTCATGAAGAAAGACAGAATAGTACTTAGAGTTATTATGTTGAGAAGAATAGGTATCTGGATAAAAATTAAAAATGTGAACAAATATGAATTAACATACAAGACACACCAAGTCAATTCATGGGAAGGAAAATATTACAATCCCTGATACTAGATATTTAAATGTCAAGATGGTTCAGTTAAAATATATGACAAACAATCCACACATCATGTTTTGTAATCTGATGAACATGAGCTTGTATATATGAACTGTAGACTAACAAATTATGCTTTATGTGACCTCCAATAACTTTTTAATAATCATTTATGAGGCATTTAGAAATATAACACTGTAGCCTTCAAAATCACCTGACAATCATGTTAGTGAAATAGAACAGTTACCTGTCTGGAAAAAGACTCTAGAAATAATTGTCCGACACAAAGGGCAGGGAGTGCTTGCAGGATTGTCTTTGGCGAGAGTCCGTAAGCAGGGCTCACAGAAGATGTGGTGGCAAGGGTAACACATATAGGGATTGAAATAAACATCCAGACACACCGCACAGATGTAACTTTCTTTTTCGTCTGTATATTCATTGTCATCATTTGTCCTCATCTCATTATTCAAAGTCTGAAAAAGCAAAAGCACAATTTCTTAATTCAATATGAGATTGGTTTTCTTGGAAAAGAATTGTTGACTCCACATTTTCTTAAACTGAATGAAGATATTTATGATAATCACATAAGTTCCTGTAAAATAGTCAAAAGGACAGAAATTTATTCCTATAAAGCGAGAAAACGAAACATAAGCTATACATTTTTTCTTTTTGGTCCTTGAAATGCTAAAATAAATTTAAACACATTAAGTATATAAGAGTTTCTACCCAATGCTGTTTAAGTGCCTGTGGGTGACTGCTCTTAGGATTACAGATGCTCTTCCATCCTACCCAACCGCAGCAAACAAAACAGCCATGCAAGAAGCAAACTGGGAACATGTAGTACTCATATTTCATCCTGGGAAGTACATAGGCCTCTTTTGTTTGTCGTTTTACACTTTCTGAGACTTCAAAGTTGAGAAACAGGCAAAACTGAAATATATCTCTGGAGGTGAATGTGGGAGAGAAACTTACAGTAATCCTGGATTAGTCTCTGAGCTCGAGAAAAATGGCCACCCAACCTGCCACCCCTAACAACAAAGAATAGCATAATTAAAAAGAGGCTATTGAGAAAGAGGAGCTCAGAATTTAGACTCAAAAGGTCAGGCAATATAATTCCTAAACTCAGCGTCCTCCTCTGCGAGGTTGTAGTAAAGATGAAATGTAATCCAGGAAAAGTCCAGGCGCACAGTAAGGACAGAATAGCTGTCATCAGCAGTCCCCCTCTCTTCTTCCTCACACACTCTCCTCTTAGGTACCTCTCCACCCCTTCCCCCTTCCTTTGGCCTTTCTTTCTTTCCTCCTGCTCTCCCTCCACCTCCGTCCTCCTCCAGGAGCCCTGTAGTTTTTGCTAAAATCTTGAGATTTCAGACCTAACAACAGCAGCGGTGAGGATAGTGCAGGGCTGGTGGCATTCTGTTTGTTGTACATAAGGTTGCTGTGCACACTGAATGAAAGAGTGGCCAGTCCTGTGCCATCCTCACACTTATTCCTAGGCTTGAGCCCAGTGTTTCAGCCGTCTTTCATAGTTTACCTTAAACGGCAGCTTCTCAAAATGCATTTCCCTGCCTATCCGAAGTTGTCCTCCATGTTGTTCAGTATCACTGTTTCTTGCTTGTTTTTTTAACACTCTTATTATAATTTGATTTTATACACCTGTTTTTCCTAGCTCCCTCAGTACGTGTTACAGACTGTGTTTTACTCCTTAAATATTTACTGAATGAACATATTTATTAAGAAATAATTTGTTCTAAAGGTCTTGCTACCACTCCATAGATCCTCTGTTTGTAGGCCCACATCCTCATAATGCTCACCTGTTCAGACTGTGTACTACTGTATTGATTTGTATCCTACTGTGGGTATCTACCTTAAGTATCCTTATGCATATTCCTACCCAGACATTAAGAACAATGAAAGTACATGAACTCTACATAGCTTAACATATAAGAACAAAAAAATTCAGTTGTTTGTCAAATCTATTTAGACTTGTATGCATTAGGTTGCTAACTGCAAGGTCAGAAGGTCAAAACCACCAGCTGTTCTGAGGTAGAAAGATAGTGCTTTCTACTCCTCCTGTAAAGAGCTGCAGTCTTGGAAACTCATAGAAGCAGTTCTACCCTGTCCTACTGGGTCACTATGAGATGACATTGACTCTATGGCAGTGTTTGGTTTGGGTGGATTTAGACTCAAGCTGACTCCATTTTCCAGAGTAGAACTGTACATTTTACTTTATTTTAGGGTTTTCAATCATTGTGATCACCAGGACTTTTCGTCCATGGTGCATCTGGATGGATTCAAACTACTACACTTCCAGTTCATAATCCAGTCCTTTACTGGTTGCATCACCCATGGACTCCAGCTCAGCCCAGAGAGAGCAAGATAACAGTCCTCACTGGTGGAAAGCTTGTAGCTAGGATTTTAATAATGATCAAAAACCAATCTGCAGGAAAGGCAGCAATATATTTTTATCACATTTATAATGGACTATTCACACCTAAATTTAAAAGAAACCTGGGACTGGAGAGAAAACTGAGAACCATAATAGATAATCACTACTGAACGTGGTGCCCTAGATACAGTCTCTTTAGATTTAGATGCTAACATATCTACTTCCCATCGTGTCAGCTTATTCTGTTCACGTTACACAGCTTGTATTATGCCTTGAGATTTGAACTAATTAATGTAGAAAAAACTCAAAAGAATAAAAGCAACAAAAAAATCAAGAATACCATAATTTGAGAGACTTGTTTTACATATCTAAATTGTAGGCCACATAATTGTATTTGTGTAAACTCTTGTATCCAGTAAGTACATTATGCCTATAGATACAACAAAAATGTTATGTCCTCATTAAAAAAGACTTCAAAGAAATAAAATATTTTCTATTTAACACAACAAAATTTTGAGAATATGCTACAAGCTGGAAGTTTGAAAATAAAAATTGAGGCAGAAACGGTTTATTATCTGAGGTAACTGAATCAGCCCACCAAACATAAATGCCTTTAAAGTCCTCTAGGGTCACTATGCTTTAAGATATTAAAAAGGCTCAAGAGTTTTCATTAGTCCAGAGAACCGAACACATTTACTAATAAAAACTATTTCATAAAGAGGACAACACATTATCTAAAGGACAGAACTCCAGTGCAGTTTTCTAAAAATCAAAGACATGTGGAGTTACATAATTATAAAGTAAATTTACTATGGATTAGATTAGATTAGATTAGATTAAAAAATTCACTTCAATATGTTAAATGAACATACAGTGAACTGATGTAAAATGCATTTATCAATGAATCAATATAAGTATGGACATGTTTTTAATGAATGTACCCATGAACTCATTCTTAATTTCTTATTATCGCAATTACCAATGCTAGAGAACTCTCATAAATACTCAACAGAAATGTGAGAGAAGGTCAGCAGAGATTACTTCTTAATAAATTTCTGAAATGAGGTACCAATGTACTGCTATAGGGTGAATTCTGACCCTATAGGGATCCTATAGAATAGAGCATAACTACTACTTTGGGTATCTGGGGCTGTAAATCTTTACAATAAATAATAACCTTGTTTTCCTCCTGTAGAGCAGCTGGCAGATTTGGACTGTTGACTTTGTGGTTAGCAGTCCAACACAGAAAGAACCCATAGGTTGTCATGGCTCCTTCTGAACTGGCAAGACATTACTAAATGATGAACATAAATGCAAAAAATCTGTAACAAAATCTTGGCCAATAGAATAAAGTATATATATAAAAAATAATCCATCATGACCAAGTGGGATTCATACAGGGAAGCAAGGATGGTTCAACATCCAAAATGCCATCAACATTATCCATCAAGGTGACAAGAAAAAGGACTAGAACCACATGATAATATCAATAGATGCAGAAAAAGCATTGACAATATTCAAAACCCATTCCTAATAATGATATTCAAGAAGATAGGATTAGAAGGACACTTCCTCAATATTATCAATGCTATATATGAAAAACCAAGAGCAGCATTACAATCAATGGAGAAAAAATGAAAACATTCCCACTGAAAAGGGGGCCTGACAAGGATGCCCTTGTCTCCACTACTATTCACAAAGATGCCCTTGTCCCTACTATGATTCAACATTGTCCTGGTGGTCATAGCTAATAATATAGGCAATGGAAGGATATGAAAGGTATAAGTCTGGGGAAAGAAAAAGTGAAATTATCGTTATTTGCAGATAAAATTATTTTATCTATAGCAAACCGCAAAGGCACCATAATAGGATTACTGAAAATTATAGAGGAATATGGTAGAGTGGCAGGCTATAAAATCAACAAGCTATACACCACTGTAGGGATTACAGAAAAAAAGATCAAGAAACCCTTCACAATAAACAAGCATAAACTGAACTATCTAGGGATACCTAACCCCCAAAACACCAAAAGATCTGTATGAGAAAAACTATAGAACATTATAAAAGAAACCAAAAGGGACATCACAAATAGAAGAATATGCCATACTCTTGGATCAGAAGACTTAATATTATGAAGATTTCAATTCTGCCTAAGACACTATATAAGTTTAGTGCAATCCCGATATAAATTCCAGCATCATTTGTCAAAGAAATGGAAAAATTATAAACTTCATATGGAAAGGGAAGAAGCCCAGAATTGGCAAGGAACACCCCAAGAGGAAGAAGAAAGTGAGTAGGCTTGTACTTCCTCACTTTAAAATTTATTATAGAGCCACAGTTATCAAGACAGCATGATACTGGTATAATGACAGATACTCAAATCAATGGATAAGAACGGAAATTAAAATAGCAACATACAGACAACTGATCTTGGACAAAGGCCCCCAAAACATCAAATGGGAAGCAGATGCCCTGTATAACAAATGGTGCTGGAAAAACTGGATATCAGCCTGCAGAAGAATGAAACAAGACCCTTACCTCACTCCATACAGAAGAACAAATATTCAAGGTGGATCACAGAGTTCAAGGTAAAACCCAAAACTATCGGGGTCATCAACGAAAAAATTGGGACAAAGCTAAGAACCTTAAAGCAGAGAATAAATGGCCTATCAGACATAAGGAAGGATTACCCACCCAGAGGAAGATAAAATAGATGAGTGGGACCTACTAAAAATAAAACTCTTGTGTTCATTGAAATATTTCATCAAAAGAGCAATAAGAAAGCCCACAGATTGGAAAAGATATTTAGTAATGACAGATCAGACAAAGGGCTTATACTTAAAATCTACAGAATACAACAAGAGAAAAATGAATAGCCCATTGAGGAGGTGGGCAAAAGACTTGAAAAGAAGATTCACAAAGGAGGAAACCCAAATGGCCAGTAAACATGAGAAAATGTTCCTCATCATTAGCCATCTGCAAATCAAAACATCTATGAGATACCACCTAACACCCACAAAGATAGCTCAATTCAAAAAAATAAGGCAGCAACAAATGTTGAAGGGAGTATGGTGAGATAGGAATGCT